GAGAATTCTCGAAAATTGATTGTCCTATGAAAACTCATAAAATTCATTGCATATTGGGATAGTAATGTCTTATACAATCTCATTGGTTTTCAAATATTTCATTCCACATACATTCAATGGGGATTCAATGTAATCGGATCTGTGGTTCCTCATTAGACGGTATGAATTCCTGGAAGATATTCTGCGTATAATAACCTGTAAGATACGATTGTTATCAACACTGAATTTTACCATTGAAACTTGTAAATTTGGAGTCGTTTTGAATCATATTAATGCTCATAAAAATCGCATTGAATCGGATGCGGGATTCCTTATTACAGCTAATAAATGCTGCCCTCGCTGTTTCCTGTCTTTCCACACGATACCATATACGATTATATTCGTTGATTTCCACACATATATCATACCTTCTCAGGCTCGTGAATGAGCAATGAAATATAATTAAGTATCGTGATTGGAAACCTTATACAAACAACTAACAAGATACGAAGGTATGGGTAAAATTGTGCCAGTCAATTTTAACCTTCAATCGTTGAAACATATAAACCTTACAGGAACTTATAGAACCCTATATATTTCAGCAATGAATTTTCTATTTCAATCTCAAGAATCCTTATAAATCCAAATTAGCAATGAGGATGAAGTGATGCAATATTCGAGATAAAAAATACTCACAAGTTTGTGCATCATGGCGGATGTTCAACCTCTTGGTGCGAACAAAGAAACAAATCCCGTTGCTAATCATGAGTAATGTTCACATTCATCCAAAAGTTATTTCAGATTGGAGCACTATCGAATCCACACTACACTACACATGATATGATATGCAATTTACACCTCAATTCTCAACAACAATTTCAGAATAATGGGTATTCTCTCGAATCAAAACAGAGATACCTGTCTTCCTTCGCGAGCAACATAAACTAAAACAAATATGGCTGGCTAGTGGCTAGCTCAGTCTCAGAAGTTCCAACGCAAAAAAGTTACTGTTTTGTTACCAACTTAAATTTTGTGTTCCCCTCTATGTGGAGACTTGATGACTCTCCAAGTGAATTTTCAAATGTGAATCTATGTGGATATATAGATAGATAGATAGATATATACTTTAATGTCCAAGAAAGAATTCTCATTGACAAAGTAATGATATTACACAACATACATAATTGATGAAATAGAATAAAAAACAAACCTTGCATGTACATTGAATGCAATTGTATCAAAAAATATAAAAAGAGTTCGACACTAACATAACAATAAAAAAAAAAAAACAAGTATAAGTATGAAAATAAGATTGAATAATAATAAAACATCAAAAGTAAAAGAAAGACAGACATAACATATATATATATATAAAACATGATAACATGAAAACAATAACATCATACTGATAGTACCAGCAATTTGTCATCATAGTACTCTTGTAGGCTGTAATAAGCTTTTTCGAGCAGTAAATCCTTTACCGATTTTCTGAACTTTTCGACATTCCTCATATGCTTCAGCTCCTCTGGTAAGTGATTGAAAATCAGTTTTCCTTCGTAAATATTGGAATGTTTTGTCAAAGTCAGCTTTGGTATTGGTAGGTAAATATTAGAGGTTTGTCTTGTGTTGTGACTATGAGGCCTATCTCCATGTAAATTAGCAACACTTCTTTTATGAATCAGGCATACTACCTCGAGAATAAAGATGCTGATGACTGTTAGGATTCGATATTGACTGAAAAGACTCCTACAGCTATCCCTGAAGCTGGCCCGACATAAATATCTGATCGATCTTTTCTGTAGTACAAAAACTTGGTTCAGGAGTTGTTGACTGCAGAATCCCCAAAACGCAATGCCATACCGTAGATGGGATTCTACTAAGGCGAAGTAAGTCAATTTAGCGGTAGATAAATCAAGCTCATTGGCGACGATTCTTACAGCAAATGACCCTGAAGCCAACTTTTTACACAAGGATGTGATATGTTCTTTGAACTTCAACTTATTGTCAATGTGTAATCCAAGGAATCTAGTACAATCCGTTTCTTCAACCTTATTTCCATCCAGTTGCAAATTGTCGTAGCTAAATTTGAAGTTCACGAGTTTCGTCTTATCTACATTGAAACAGAGGGAGTTTGAATCACACCATTGCTTAACTTTCACTAGATCTCGAGATATGACTTGTTTCAAGTCCTCAGTATTTTTACCATGCCATAATATTGTTGTGTCGTCTGCAAACATTGTAAATGATCCTTGGATATTGATTGTAGCGAGGTCGTTCACATACAGTAGGAATAAAATGGGTCCTAAAACCGATCCCTGAGGTACCCCGGACTGTATTGACGACAGGTTAGAATATGTCTCATTAACTTTCACCATTTGCGATCTATTCTCGAGGTACGACCTGAACCACTCAAGACAAGTACCCTTTATACCATAACAGTGCATTTTTTGCAGCAATACTCGATGATTAACACAATCAAAAGCTTTTGAAAAATCACAAAATATTGCTGATATTGCTTCCCCCTCATTCAAATTCATGTAAACATTTTCCAAAAAAGTAAAAATAGCATCATTAGTGCTTTTTGAACTCTGGAACCCAAATTGGTATTCATTTAAAAGTTCCTCATTCAATAAAAACTGTAATAACCTTTTCTTTACTAATTTTTCTATGAGTTTTGATAAAGTAGACAGTAATGAAATTGGTCTGAAGCTCGAGGGACAGGAGATATCACCTCCCTTGTGAAGAGGCAAGACAACTGCTGTCTTTAAACCAGAGGGAAATACACCGCTCACAAAAGATTTGTTTATTATATCTGCTAGTACAGAATAAGCTTCGAAGGGTAGGTTTTCTAGCAGTCTCCTCGTCAAACCATCTAATCCAGCGGACTTGTCATTTTTTATTTCCTTCAGAGTTTGTTTGATTTCATGAACATTTGTTGATGATAATTTGAAATCAGCGCCACAGTGGTTTTCTCCAAGATAGCTCAAGGGATCAATTTGAGAAACTAAATTGGCTGTCAGATTTCTGGCAATCGAGCAGTAGAAATCATTGAAGGTATTCGGATCAATGTTACACTCTACTGCTGATGATGAACTTCCTTTTTCCCGTAGTTCATTTATTATTCTCCATTTTTCTCTAGGACTATTTTTCGACTCTTCAATTCTGTTCGAGTAATAATTGTTCGCACACAATTTGATCAAATGTCTGTAGATACTCCTATATTTATTAAAATATCGCAAGAAAGTTATATTTGTCGTAAACTTCTTGATAGCGCGGAGGGATCTGAGATTTTTAGCAGAAATTCTGAGACCTTTTGTAATCCAAGGCTTTTTGTGCTTTATTTTCAAATTTTTCAATGGAAAACAATCATTGAATTTATTCACCAAAATTTCTTGAAAGAGAGTGACAGGATCAGAAGCCATAGTTATATCATTCCAGTTGGTTTGTTCACATAAAACTTTGAATTTATCATAGTTATTTTTACTGAAAATTCTCCCCTCTCTGAATTTGATGTTTGTCTTTCTTCTATGTAGTGAAAATTTCAAATGAATTGCTTCGTGATCAGATAAGCCTGCAGGGATTGAAATTGCTTTGTCTTCGATAAAATTTGAACAAATATAATCAATTGTTGTAGACGAGCTGTTTGTAATACGAGTGGGTTCATCCACATGCATTTTCAGATTGAAGCTGATGAATATATTTTGCAGGATATCAGTGAATCTGCAGTGACTGGAAAAGTCTATATTGAAATCACCAGCGAGTATAATTCTTGATTTAACTGGTATACTTGACAAAAGAATTTCCAGTCTTTCTAGGAATGTGTATGTTTTACTTGTTGAACTTGAAGGTGCTCTATAAATGCATAGTATAAACAGATTATTTTTTTTATTATAAACTGTTGAAAATTCGAATTCACCCTCTACCAACATATTATCAAACTTGTGCACATCATCGAATGAATATTCATCTGCCATTTTTTTATGTATAAGAATCATTGTTCCTCCATGCAATATTTCCTTACGAGAGAACTTCGAAACAACGAGATAATCCGGAATGAAACATGGCTCATCTTGAAACAACCAATGTTCCGTCAATAGTAAAAATGTTGGAGATCCCTCAGCTTCTAAAAACATCGAAAGTTCGTCAATTTTTTTACGAACTGATTGTATATTCAACAAAATCAAGGAACTATTTTGTTTATGACTGAAGAGCTCAATTGCAAGGGATTTGGGTGAAGTAATCATTGAATGAGAATTCGCCTCGAAAAAACTGCATAGATTCATTAGGTGTAATATCAATTCGGTTCACTGTTCTCAGGGTGAAGTTATGTCTTCGATTTGAGATATGTGAAAGAGTTCTTTTTAATTTTTCGACCACTTCAAACTTACTACCCCTCTCTTCTCGGCCAGCTAAGAAAGTCAAGGAACAACTTTTATTCTTATGTTTAAAATATTTGATTTGATTATAAATAATTCTATTGATATTCTTATCGGCAAAGGAGTGGCACTCTGTTATGATGATCAGGTTGGTGAAATTGCTAAGACCAAGTATGTTTCTTAGAAGTTGAGAGAGAGTAAACCTATTACTAACATTTTTTGTGTTGAACATAACGACTATCAGATCATTTCTTTCAAAAGTTAGAGTATCCGCAAATACATTTTTCGTAAGATCAGAGATCTCCGTCTCATTTTCAATTTTTTCAAATACGCTACATCTATGATTGATATCAATCCTAGTCAAAACCTTAAAAAAACCTGAGGCATATTGGTCTCCACATATGTGGATTTTTCTTGTTGGAAGGGATGGATTCGTTACCTTTGATCCATTCATTGATTCAGTTGCTAGCAAACAATTTGGTGTATTCATGTATTCTGGTGTGTTTCTATCACAACTTGCATCTTCGAAAACACTTCGTGCTTTATCTAGCTCTTCAAATAGAGAGATTTCGTTCGATTTTTTTGTGAGTGTATTTTCAGAGCAGGGATCATTTGAACGCTGGAGAGAATCTTCATCAAAGTTACCAGATGAATTCACAGTTGACACAGCTTCCCGTTCCTCTGTGACAACACTGTTGATTTCCACTTCTGTGTCAGTTTGTTGGTTCTGTTGCCTCTTTATGCTACTCCTCAAGATCATCTGTATTTCTTCTTTCTGTATCTTTCTCCTACTGGCCATCTGCTTTTTTGATTTTTGTTTCTTCTTCATTCTATCACTTTTCGGCTCATAATGTATTTTTTCATTCGAAGGATTTTCAAGATAATTGGTTCGACTTGGCAACATTGTATTATCATCATATTCGGTCATTTGATTAAAATCGTCAGAATCGTTAGGCACTTGTGCGATGAACATTTTTTGTTCGATGTCTTCTTTATCTGTTTGGGTTTGGGTGCTGATAACGACTTCACTTTTTTTGTTCGCTACTTCTCGTTTTAAAATCAACAGATTTTCTTGCAATTCACGTATAACTTTTTTATAAGTCTGGATTTGACTCATGAATTCATTTTCCATTGTTATTGCTTCATCATAGAAGAGTTCGTATTTTTTATTGATTTTTACAATTGTCTCTTCTTTTTGTTTACCTTCGATTCGTAGCTCTTCAATAAGTTTCGAGTAAAACTCATCCACACTATTATCCTTGGCGATGTCGGAATTTTCACACTCCTTACAGACGAGTTTGTTGGTATTTTTTAATGTTTTTGGAGCAATTCTATCGTAACAGCTAATGTGGAACACTCCATGACACTTAACACATATATAGTATCCACTTTTCGGCTTTTTATTACAACACATAAACACAAAATCGTTCTTTATTAGGGAGCTCTCACTCACGCGCTTACTACCCGACATCTTTTCTAGTCTATATAAGTTACCTATGTTATGAATCTGACCTTGTTGTTCGGGTATTTATGTGGATGTATCAGTTTCTAGTAGGTGTGAAAATATATAATAGTTTCTTGATGCAATGCTAATGAGAATTATGAGAATGTATGAGGATATACAGAATATTGAATAGGAATTATGAGAATGTATGAGGATATAAAGAATATTGAATGGTTTTTATGTGATCGAATGAGGATTCATTTGGCAAAAATCCTCAGGCTTCTTCGTCTCTTCGAATTGTGTGCGTATTCAAGTTGAACTACCAGTACCAATATAAAAACAATTCTGTTTTGATGGGCTAATGTTTTTGAAATGAATCGGAAAATATGGCAATATACAGGGTCGTGTGATTTGAAAAAAAAGATGATGAAAGATGGTCTGAAAATGTCTTGTAACGAAATCAGGGGGTGTTGGATATATAGAAAAAATAAGGAAATCAATAAGTTTTTTCCAAGAAAGTGACGATCGATATAATTATATTTCCAAATAAAATATACAGGGTATCTGTAAAAGGTTCGGACATGGCTCGGCTGTGGACTCCTGGGATAGAAACAAGTTGATTTAGTCCAACTTACCTATATCCACAATCGTCTCGTTGAGTTGGTACAAGGCGTTGAAGTTTTTATGGAAACAAATAATTCTGCTCATGAGAATAGAAGGCTAGGATCAATTCTCATAATTTTTGGCATGACATGTTCCTTAACTGTAAGTCACGTTTTGAGATGTTTTTTATCATCATCAGTGACCTACAAGTGTTTCAAACAACCATGTTACCGTACAAATTTGGTGATAACTTTTCAGAGGTCGGACTGGAAACTTCCAGTTTTTTTCAAGAAAAGAAATATCTTTTGTATCGTGTTTATCTTTGATATGTCTCGAGTTTCATTTGCAAATGAATAATTTCTGATATGATGCATTCTCTGCATTTTTGAAAATCAATCTAATTAGTTGGACTGTTTATTGATCATTGCTACAATATGTTTTCTTTATTGTAAACGAACTGATAAGTTGCTGGTCCTCGTTGGCATTACAAGAACTTCCACGTAACAAATTTAGCGATAACTATATACAGGACCTAGAGTGAGCACTTTAACGCCTTGTACCAACTCAACGAAACGATTTTGGATATAGGTAAGTTGACTAAAATCAACTTATATTTATTCCAGGAGTCTACAGTCAAGCCATGTCCAAACCAAATTATTATTATAAAAAATGCATAAGTTGCCTCAGATCAGAAATTATTTATTCGAAAATAAACCTCAAAAATTAACAAGATACAAAAAATGTTTCTGAAGGGAATATCTTTCTGGAAAAGAAACTGGAAGTATCCAGTCTGACCTCTGAAAAGTTGTCACCAAATTTGTACGACAACATAGTTGTTCAAAATACTTGCAGGTCACTGATAATGATCAAAAACATCTAAAAACGTGACTCACAGTCACAGAACATGCCGTGCCAAAAATTATGAAAATCAATCTCAGCCTAGTCTTTTTATGAGCAAAATTATTTTTTCCAAAAAAACTTCAACGCCTTGTACCAATTTACCGGGATGATTTTGGATATAGGTAAGTTGGCCCAAATCAACTTGTTTTCATCCCAGGAGTCCATAGCCGAGCTCTGTCCCAACCTTTTACAGGCATCCTGTATATATAATGTTCAGCTCTAACAATGACGTGCGTTCAAGCACTGACTCTGATATATTATATGAACACAAAAATTGTACCTACGCAATGGTGTCTTGCAAAATAGAAGTTATGAGCTATCAAAAATTATATTTCTCATAAAAACTGCTGGTAACCTATAATATTAGAACCGTGTGTTCTCATAAGAAATTACAAATCTTTGAACTGATCTTCTTATACAAACTCATTTAATACATTTTGGATTGAGCATGCATTGTCTCATTGAAACTGGTGAACAAATTCCGCATAAAACCTCTTGTTTTATTATTATAATCATATAACTACTGTCAATCATTGTCATTAATCCTCATAGGATATAATAATATATATTTTGAACTTGAAAATATTGTACTATTGAAAACTCACACAAACTCATAGGAAACATTTTAAATTAGACATGAATTGTCTGATCCAAACTCGTGAATCATCATGAAAAAACTCTGCGAAAAAGCCTCTCGATATACCAGAAGTCATAACTATATATCCTTATCAACCCTCAAGAAGTCTATAATACATTATATCCTCAGCTTCAGCATTGTCTTTACAAACCTCAAAAACATACACATCTCATACAAACTAATTAGTTACCATACAGATTAGACATGTATTGTCTTATCAAAACCCGTGAATCCCCATACAGAAATAACGCATCATTCATTTCAACATATGGATACAGTCATAACGGTGAATCCCTATCAACTCTCATGAATGACGCATAGAACAATTTTAGAACAACAATTTTTTAGAATCCTTAAACAAACATTTCCTCATAAGATACATATCTCATAAAAACTGATCAGATACATTTCGAATCAGACATGTATTGTCTAATCTAAACTCTTGAATCCTTATACAGCAATCCCGCATAAAAACTCTCAACATACCATTGGAGTCATAATGGTATATCCCTATCAACACCCATCAGTTTTGAAACACATCAAGCCTCAGCATGACCCATAGGATACATTCCGTTTCAAATCAGTAATGTCATTTCAAACTCCAGAAATCCTCAGAACTAACACATCTCATACAGACTTATTAGATACCATTCAGATTAGGCATGTATTGTCCAGAACTCGTGATTTCTTGTACAGAAATAACGCATGAAACATCATAACATACGGTTACAGTTATAACGGAATATCCTCATCAATACTCATGAATTCTGGAACACATCTTACCTCGGCTTGACTAATAAGATACGTTTCATTATAGATCAGTAATTACTTATAAATTTCGAATACTTGAAACCAAATATACCACATACAAACTCATTAGCAACCGATAGTATCAGAGCAGCAGTTCCCTATTGAATATCATAATTTATCGAACACTTTTCACCCTCACAAAAACCCATGAAATACGTTTAAGATTATATCTATATTGTCTTTTAAAAACTTATGATTACTCAATAATCATTCACCGCATTCGAGCTGATAAGAAACCTATAATTTTAGGACCGTGTTTTCATATTTGAGCTCTTAAACCTAGGAACTAGTTGTCTTATAAACACTCATTGGACACATTTCAGATCAGGCATTCATTGTCTGATTGAAACTCGTGAATTCTCAGTTATTCTGAGTCACATGACTGCTAATAAAAATCGCATTAAATCAGATAAGGAATTCCTTAGTGAAACTCTAAAATCCTGAACTATTTTTTCTTGACGATACCCAATAGAATTCTATTTGTGAATTCCTACACATTTCTCATATAAACTAAGGCGCATGAATGTTCATAGAATACTTTTCCAATCGGAATTGGAATATCTTATTGGTGATCATAGGCTCCTCCAACCACTTGTGCCTGATAAAAACTCTCATACTCCATATTTGTATACACTTATAAATCACATATACTTATGAAATATCATTGAACCTTTTAGAAAGTTCATGTGCCAGAGATAATGTACTCATACGCTACAGAACTCGCATATATATCCTTATTAATACTCATATTTTATCTATATTTCTTTATGAGACTTTATAAGGTATTTTTGGCAGGGATGGCATCTGTCAAGTGTCATCTATCTAGCATAATTTGTGACGATGTCGTACATGAAGTAGAGTATTCTATTCGCGCATCTATTGTCAGTATCATCAAGAAGGCCCAATACTAGCTTTATGGAAGATAACATAAGAATATAGGTTATTCACGGCTCTCCATTCTTTATTGATATCTCGCAAGCATTGAAACTCTGCGTATATCAATGATTTTGCAAATCCTAGTTTTTGTGAAGCAGCGTTCGTGATGAAACTATCTGTCATATACTGTTTGAATTCAATAGTTATCCATAATCCGCATAGGGTATCTTCATTTCGGTTAAAAAGAATGGTACCTTGTGATTATTCTATTTCGATGAAGTTGGGCAATATTTCAAATGATAGCCGAGATACTTTATTTTCCATAGTTTACAGGATAACAACCTATTTGAATATTTTTCCTCTGACAATGTTTTTTTTTTTATAATTCTGATCTTTCATTTTTTATATGTCGGGTGGAGAATCTAGTTCATTATCATTATTTTATATCGATGAAGTTGGTCAATATTTCGAGCGATAGCTGGGATACGATTCTCCATAATGTATAATAGCCTATTTGAATTTTTTTCACGTTTTTCATGTTCTGGTACATTTTCATCAGTTCATATTTTTTTATCACTTGGAGCGCACGAAAGAAAATCCTAACAATGTTCGAAGAACGTCGTGCATACCTTAAAGAGGATAGGATATTCAATTTAACTGGGAATGTCTCACTTGATAAGAGAGAGATGATTTTCCGAATATTTTCGTCTTAGAAGTTAATTCATAATTATTGGTATACGTTGTTTGAATGTCTCTGAAAATTATTTTCTGTGTATCTGTAGAGGAGTGGAAGGTCGATGTCTTTTCGGTGATGTTACAATGTTGTTTGAGAATCAGTGAGTGTAGAAACACCAATCAGGCGAATGGGCTGTATCTCTGAATGAAATCTAGGAGCATCAGAGTATGTATGGATGTTGAACCCCATAATATGTAGGAACAGTACTCTGAAAAATATCATATCTGTATCTTGTATAGTAGCTTTTCGCGTGAAATAAAAATCATAGTTTTTTCGTTGAAACTTTCGTGATGGATCTGGGTGTCGTAGTATACTGATTGATTCCAATTCTTGTTCAGGATCTTTATATAGTATCTTTATTTCGGGTGAAAATGAATGGTGCCCTGTGATCATTTCATATCAATGAAA